CAGTCAGGTATCCATTAAGCAATAAAAAGAAATGTTTATATGGCCGCAATCATGACACGCTCTCTTTCGGCCTCGTGTTGTTGCTGATGTTGCTTCTGATGTTGCTGCTGCAGCAGCAACAGGTGTTGCTGTTGCAACTTGTCAAAGTCTAAAAGTCTGGTAACTGTACAAACTACTCGGGGCTAGAAATTAAGAACTCAATTTGGCCAGACACTAAATCCCCCATTATACTAGGCATAATTATATATGCGCGAATTGCGGATTTCGGAATTTACTCAAGCTGCTCGCATGAATGGCCAATTTAACCCATCTTGCACAATAAAATTCTCATTAAATTGTCAACAATTTCTGCTCGTTCTCGGCAATCTTTTCATTAGCTCCCGAGACAGGCCGACAATGTGCCACTGGGCGCCCATCGTTCGTTTCAAGGCCAGCCATCTCGGTTTATTGGCAAGCGCATTTCATTTTCATTTTTTTTTATTTCATAAAAGGGGACAGAAATGAGCCGCCAACGCTCGGCGACACACAAATCAAGCCAAGACAAATAATGGCCGAGAGACAACAATGTGCAGTGTGTGGCCCCTCGAAAAATGGAGGCTTGTGGCATCTATACTATACTGTACTATACTATACTATACCATACCGAACGCATTCCCCCTCTACAAAACGACCTTCAGATGAAGGCGGGACTCGACTCATCGATGAGATGAGTGGCTCGCTCGATCGACTGGCTATCGAGTCATTCAATTAAGTGCAATCTGACCTTTGTGGAATCTCTTGCAACGCCAACGCCGGTTTTATCATTAGCTACCGATTGCCCAAGTCTCAAGACTCAATCGGGGTCAAAGCTAAACTGCAGCCACTACTCAACTCACTCGTGCGGAAGTGTGAGAGCCCAGTGGTCCGAACTCTTAGCACCTAAAGTCATTAACCCGCGCCCATTTGCATGCCAACAATTTGTCAACATTTGCCCACAACTTATCACCTGCTTAGCATCGCAACCAGGCGCAAAGATCAAGTGCCGCCATGGCAGAAAAATAAAAAGCAGTAGAAACAGCAGCTCTAGCGGAATTTCCACCATTGTTTGCCACCGTAACGAGCCGACTGGGCCAAGAACTGTCACATGTCTTACCCGGGCTTAGTCGCGTTAAATGAGCGTTTAAATGGCTCTGAGCCAAAGGCAGCATGTTTGCTTTTCCCCTGCCTGCCCCATGATGGTTACAAGTGGAGTTAATATAAAAAACAAGGGAAAAAAACGAAAAGTGTAGAGAACCCGGCGCCACCATCGTCGTCATCGCAGTGTTTACATCCAGAGAAAGGCACTCAATGGAAGTCAACTGGCAATGGGATTTGTGAGTCAAACAATGCATATAGTGCACTGCCAAGAATTGTTTTTAAAATTTAAAGGGTCAGAGGTTAGCAATAACAGGAGAACTAGGCCAACTTAGGATAATTCTAACTTGTTTGGTGGTTCTAATCAGGAATAAAAAAAAGTTCTTATGATCAGAAGACGAATTTGTATTATAACAATTTATACTAACAAATATTTGGCGAAAAATGTAAAGAAAAGGAATTTAAGAAGTAGACAACATACCATTTGTTCTACAACTAACTCAAGTTTCGAGCTGAACCATGCGCCGATCCACGGTGGATGGTAGGGGATAAGTAACAGGATATGTGAAATTTAAGAAGTATGCAACATACAATATTGCCTCAAAATTCAAGCTTTTTTCCCAGTGCATTAGTGCTGCTGGTAAGTAGAGTGACTATCTGTCAAGTTGGCGGCTGCCTGGGAGCGGCGACAGCTACAAGCCATGTGGGTGGGTGGGTGTTTTTATAGTAGATCGAACGGGGGGTCGAAAAGGGGGCAGCGGGCTGGGACCAATGCAATTGCCTGACTCGCTGCCTGTTCGCTGTTCTCATTGTGCGACATTCCGCATTACGGCGGGCGCGTGATAAGCCCATAAAAAAAACACGCCAACGGCAACTACTCAACCACTCAGTCGAGTGTGTGAGAGTTTCAGTTTCAGTTTTGTGGCCAATAAGTCACCCATTCGGGCGTGTGGGTGGGTGTAGTGTCTGGTATTCGTATGGGATAGCTGGGCATTCGGCATGCTGCCGGCTAGAAAGGTGGTTTCAATTACCCAAAGATTAGTTCTATTGACGCTCGACTGCATTAACATTACACCCCGGAATGAGACTTAGGCTCAGAGGAGAAGGAGGATGCAACGGTATAGCAGCTTGCTAGATCTGGCAGCCAATCAATAGGCTTCATTAGCCGGATCGGATCGTGGATGTGGAGGCCTCCATGGGAGGCGGCGGCGGCTCAGTGGCCCGCATGGACGCCCAGCGGTGTAGCTGTTAAAATTTGACAGTTAGCCGACAGCCGCGATCGTTAAGCATCATTAAACATGCCCGCCAACAAGAACAGCGCCTAACTAACTACTAACTGACAGTCAGTCAGTCAGTTAGTCAGTTAGTCGATCTGGGAGCGGAGTGTTTAGCGATCCACGTCACTCATAAAATCACAATCACAATCGCGGATCGAGGATCGAGGATCGCGGATCTGAGCTGGGTTCAATCGGGTGGAACATTAGTGGCCCCCATATGGATACACTGGGGGAAATAAAAACGCCATTAAAAGCACATGAAATGCCATAATTAAGATGATTGAAATGCACCTCTAAAATAAAGATTGAAGATTGAATAGCCATCAAATGTTAAGGGGTGCAGCATTCACTTGAGGCGGCGAAAAACTAGGAAAAATCAATTGCTTTAACATTTATGAATAGCATACGTTTTTGTGGTCTATAAAATGCATTTTTCGCCTTTAAATACACATTTAAACAGTAATTACTTTTCAGGGGATTTATTGTGAAATAAAATTAAGACATTTTTAAAAGAGATTAATCACTAAAATAATAGATACTATTAATTTCAATAAAACCCTTGATTGTTCTTGATTGCAACTACTTGTTTTCGTTTTCCCAGTGTCGTATTATAAATAGCTCTGCTGCTGGGGATCCATAAAACAAAGAACTAAATGCGTGTGGCTGAATTTTAATTTCACTATCCAGCCAGCCGATGGCGCCATAGCTGCATTCCAGACTTTTTCAGAATTTTCATTTAATGCCTACAAATAAAGAAAAGTTGGCAGCTGCATAGTATAGTATAGTTGTTGTTGCTGGCTAGCTGGCTGTTCCGCTGACCCAAATCCATCTCTCAACGAGCCGGGCACACAGCGAAATAAGTTGGCCAGGCCAGGGCATTTAATCAACAGAATCCGTTGCATTTAATACTCTGACTGCGATTCGCCGCACGTTTCACTCAGATGTTTTTTTCGTTTGTGGGCCAGAAACAGAATTACTGAAATAGCCCCTGATGACAGATGTCATAAAATCAAGTGGTCTCTCTGCCACCTGGAAAACCTGGAGAATTAACGGATTCTTTCGGATTATACGAGGTTAAAGTTTGAATGGCTGCAGGCAAACTCAATCTGGTGGGAAGAACGTGTCTCTCTGCCCATTTTTGGGGTGTTAACATTGTAAATGAAAGGGCGGTACCAAAAAACAGAAACAGAAAGAAAAGGTCTAAGCCAGAAATTGCATATTCATGGAGGCAAACAGGAAAAGATGGGCGGTGCAAAATGGATTGGTCTGTCTGTCTGGCAGTTTACGGAAAAAAAAATTGGAAAAATAGCTAAAATAGAAAACGGCAACAGCAGCCGCGTAGTTGCAGTCGCAAAAAGTCCCTGAGAATTGCATACAATTGAAGTCGCTGCCATCAGACACTCATTGTTGCGTGCAGTCACGTGAGGATAAAACAAACTGAACAAAAAAATGAAAAATAGTATAAATAAATCCGAAAAAAGGGCGGCAGCGAAGTGAGTAAGCTCTCTACGCAGCTTGGCAATTAAATCTAGTCAAGTCAGACAGACAGACAACAATGTCATGAGCCTTTGCCATATTGTTTCAGACTTTGCCACTCAGCCAATTACATCAGCAGTTTTTTCTTGTTGTGTGACCCGTGAGAGGGTCCCCTAATAAACCCCTGCCCCTAAAGCAAAAACACACCTGGTCACTGCCAAGGTAATTACAGACAGTCGGTGCACCGACAGCAGCCCCCCTGAACTTGACCTTTCCGCGGGCATCGGAAATGTTTTGTGCGATTTTGGTCTTGAACCCGCTGCTCTGAACTCCACTGAACTGGAATGGAACTCTTTAAAGTGGCAAAAGCAAATGGCCAGCCGAAAAATATAAACAAACCGCCGAAAAACCATAACAAGGCAATTCCATTTCGGTAAACAGTAAATATTTGCTCGGCATTACTTTGAAAGCACTCAAATACTCGTATATATTTTCATTTCCATAATGACATCAGTTTAGTCAGCAGCCCAGAGATGTCAGAACTTACGACAGGCTGAAAAGTGAATCATAGCCCGCTATTTCAATGCTTTCAGTTTTTAGCATAGGTCAGTATTTATTTGATGATGCCAGCCAGCCAGCAGCTTTTACCCCCTAACAAGTTCCGAAATCGAGTGTAAAATATGCAAAACTGAATTGAATCCGACAGGGAGAACATGTACATTATATTTGCGTAGAATTCAAAATAAAGACCCCGCGCGATGAACCCATTAAATTGTTTACGTAATCCATTTAAATGAATGGTCAATTCGCGTCGAGGTGCGAACTGAATGCGTAAACACAATCGGACCACATGATCATCAAAAGCTAAGGGAATATGTGTGCATATAAGCAAACATGTAGCTCATTTGGAGTCGTCAACAACAACAACAACAATCATTCATAAGTCCCGCAGTCAAGTTTGCAATTAAAATCAGAGAGTGAGTCAGAAAGGCGAGCTGGCATTGACCCATAAGATGCAACTTCACTACTTATGTTTTTGTTTACCCGCACTCGCGATTAGAATAAATATATTATGGGCTATATTTAGCTGGTATTTCCGATATTCTTAATGGTATTATGATATTCTTAGCTTACCTCAATATATTCGCATGCGAGAGCTTGTTCAGGAGCTGCACCTCCCTCAGCATATTGGGTCGATTGGCCCGCAACTGATTCATCTTCAGCACCATCACCTGGCCGGTTGTACGATGTGTGACCTGGAAAACAGAACAGAAAATCAGAAAAACATTGCCAAAATCAGAAACATGAATTTATATATAGCAAGTAGTAAGTGGCAGATCCATAAATCGTTCTGCCGGCGCTGACAACTCAAGTGCAAAATGTGAGGACACGGGTCTAAACTAAACCAGGTATGAACATATGTATTTTTTTGCAATATTCCAGGGTCAAGTTCGCGTGGAAAGTTGCCGAGGGGCGAGTGCAAAGCAAATATATCGAGAGCTGGAGGATAATTGCATTGAAACAAGTGAGACAACAAGCAAAGTGGTTTTCATGGATTTGTGCAGACCGAAACCAAATGAAAAATCAATAAACCCGTCTATCTCTCTGTCTGCGCCTGGACCAATGCAATTTGATGGTCGGCGGTTAGCGAGCCAGAGATGTCTGCAATCACAATTAAAATTGTAAATTGAATTTGCCTTTTTGAAGGTGGTTTGGGTAGGGTTGGGTTCGGTTAGGAGGTACCGCCTGTCAAGGGGTTAAATGTCATTTGGCCCCAGCTTGGCCGGAAGGCATCCGCAACCGCGTAGGTGCTATTTCTGTACATCTTCTACACTGAAGGAAAACGGGGATTATTATTTGATAATAATCATGGATAGATAGACTACCAAAAATTCTTAAAACATTTAAAACACGCTATGAAAAGTTAAGTATAGAAAGACTTACTTATTTAAAGACTGTCTAGTATAAGCTGTCACCTTTCAAACCCTGAGCTAATAATAAAGAACATTTATAAGTTAATGTTCTGCCATGCCTGTCTCTGTATTTGGCGATAATACTTTTGATTTAAGAGTGACTTTTTCTCAGTTTAGAGCTCGTCGTCTGAGCCGGGATTGCCACTCGGCGCCAGACAACATTATTCACAATTCACTTAAATAAATAGCCCCGAGTCGCTGCTGCCAAGGCATATGTATGTAGACAATGGCAACTAGTGTTCAGTGTTCAGTTCTTCTTGAGTTGTATTCTATTTTTATGCCGACAGCGAGCAAGGCAAATAAGCAGTGAAAACAAACAGCCAGCAAAGGCACAGGCACTTCTATTCCTTGAGCGCGAATTTCTCGGCTCTTTGCTAATGGCAGCAAATTAAGTTTCCTTGTGAAGTTGGGTCTATAGGTGAGTAAGCTGATATGTGCCGGATGGATGGGGGTCTGGGGACCTGGGGATCTGGGTACCTAGGAACCTCGGGACACGTGTGCGTGGGTGACACACACGACGCCGACAACTACTACGATAAAAACTTCAGTACCGACAACAGTCGTAACCAAGTCATTGTCATTCTTTATTGTCCTGTTGCGCTTTTAGCTCATTTCGACTGTTGTGAGCTGGCCTCCATTCGCCTTTGCGTCGGTGTTAACAAATTTATGAAGTTTCTGTTGCCATTTGCTATTTGCTTACGCCCAGCGGGCAAAGTCCAATTCACGGCGGTCTGCAGTCATGAGTTGTTTGGCTTGTTGTCTAGCAGCAACAGCAACAGCAGCATGTGGCAATCAGTTAGAAGGAGAAGAAGGGGTGAGAGGGGTGTAAAAGGTGTTTCCAAGATTCTTAACTCGACTCAGAATTCGATTTCCGCTTTGTGTCACTTCATTTTCGGCCAGCCAGCTCCCCATGTCATTCGCTGATTTGCTTATCTGCCACTCAAAGAGCTTTCAATATTCGTATACTTTATACCTATATGTTTTCCGCTATAAAATCGCCTCATAATGCTGACACACCCAGCCGGATGGTCTCAAAATATATTTGGTTCGGTTCTCGTTTAAATTGCTGTCGTTCATCATATTGATTGAACAGGCTAGCTTCTGTAAGTTAATTCTTTTTGTATTTATTTTGGTGTTTTGATTAAAGCTGTTTTTCGATACTTCTGGATATTATCGTATCAATATTATCAAAATATCGATACTTTTCAAACTCTATTTTTGATTAACCCTGATTGTATACGAAAAATTCGAATAATGAAGGTTTTTTACTAATAGTTCTTGTTAAAGAAGCTCCACTGTCTGTCTTTCTTTAATTACCAAATTATTTGTGCGTTGTGCGTGACCAATAAAGCCTGAAAGCTTTATGTATGTTTGCCAAATTGATTTGCATTAAATGAGTCTCTACCTTACAGTCACAGTCACTTTGACAGAGCCTGTCATCCCGACAGACCATCAAATGAGACAGCGAAGCAAACCACTCCCCGTCGAGTGTTTGCTGGGACAATTAAACCATTAAATGCATTTTAGAAGCGAATGCTTTAGAAGCGCTTAATGAGCGCTGCAGATGAAAAGAGGCAGTTCCTACAAAATGCACGCTGGGTACGTGTATTTATCCAAAAATGTTCGAATGTCCGAAGTTCGAACCGTTCGTGCAGCAGACAAAGCGAATGCAGTGGACCAAAAAGTGGCACGTCCGTGTTCCTAAGTCCGAAGACTGGGGGCCTGGCCTGCAACTGTGCTAAAAGAGAGCTCACTCGGTCTACACACAGACAAACACATGTGAGTTGTGGATTGATCTTTTGCTCGGCGGCCAGCTTCAAAGACCATCGGTCTGTCGGTCAGTTGGGTTTCTTATTGAAAAGCGTTTAGGCCAGCAATGACGTGAGAAAAGAATTACCGACACAGCACAAAAATGCCCATACATCATACAATACATAACATATACCCACAGCATCGATGGGCTTCCAAAATAATCAATTACCGGCGAAATCCGAAAACGAAGGTGTTCGAGTGAAAGAAGCCTTTCCATTGATCTGGGTCGTCGTGTGTGGGAAAGTTATGGGGTTCTAAAAGCTTTTTGACCAGCTTAGGAAGATCCCCAGATTTTCCCCGAAATTCATTTGCACCTCCTCAGCCGCTGCATCGTTTAATTTACCCTCCCAAACTGGGTGATAAACAATCGACGAGTGTAAACAGCAGAACCAGAAATTATTTATGAAGGAATATAAACCACACACGAACTTCTTTGTTCTGTTTGCTTATTTTAAAGCATGGAAATGCTTTTAGGCATTTCGTTTGCACTTCAAATAATGTCCAACTTAAAGTTCCGCCAATAAAAACTGTAAATAACCGACGGAGGATGAGGAGGTGAGAGTGAAGTGAAGTCATCGCCATCCGTTCTGCGCATTCAAATGAAACACATCAAATCATTATTACTTAACCAGTTTTAATGGCCAGCTGAGAGGCTCCTCATCCTCATCGCATTGCATCGATGGTTATGTCAACAGGCAACAGGCAGCAGCATCTCGGCGGCATGCAAACAAATTTCTTGCCTTTTGCCGTAAATACTCGTATTTTCACTTTCAGTTGGGGCAATGCAAAATAAAAAATGAAAATAACAGCGTCCACAATAAAATGGTGGCGGTTGCGGAAACAAAACAACAACGAAAGTTGCCGCACCACCTCGCCGAAAAAAACATCCTTTTTGACCAAAAGGCCAGGCTTTTGGCCGAAACCAGTCGAGAGAGGCTTACACTGACATTTCAGCCGGCGGAAAAGAAAGAAAGACGATGAAAAATAAAAATAATAATGCCACTAAACACAAAAAATTGGTAATCGGTAGGCAGAGAAAAACCCGCTCGATATATGTATATTTCTCAGTTGGCCGAAAAACGCGTTTTCAGCCAACGGACTCGACATGGGGCACACACGTGTGACATTCGATCTTCGACTCGATTGCACCGGCTACTTACTACATATACCAGTTGGTAGTGAAAATATTCCAGATATTTCCACGCCGCTGCGGCGTTTCGTTTTGCTGGTTAACAAATACTTAATGCGATTTACAGTTGGGTTTTTTCATTCACCAGAGATACTAAGAGTATGAGCCTGCCTGGCTGGTCAATCATCTTTCACAGCGGCAACATATTGTGGCAACACGAGTTAGCGGTACAATGTCACCAGCGGAACGGAGGAAGGGAGTCCAGAGTCTCTAAAACGTGTTCTGGCACACTCCGTCGCGTTTTTCACGCCGCTGTGCGAACCCAAACCCAAACCCAGAGCCAAGAAATACGCACTCCAACAGACAAATGTCGGCTAAAACCATGTAAGACAAATATTAGGCGAGAGGTGTTGCTGCCACCAACTTCTGGTCATTCCCATTCCCAAGTTGTCGGCAGAGAAGTAAAAGAACCAGCTGAGAGCTGATAGCTGGAAGCCGGCTTTGAATGGAATTTAACCCAGTTTGCTTTCTTCTTTCTCGCCATCTAGCTGGCTGTCTTCATTTTTCTGCCAAGCCAACTGGCTTTTTGGGCGTTCAGCGGCCGCTCTAAATGGCCTTTATTGCTATGGTCAGTTATAACGAGGCAATGGAGAGACAGGTGACTTTGTTTGGATATTTGCATGGGGCACAAAACGGGTTAAATGGGGATAATATTGCACGCTCCATTGTCACGAGAGCCCCCAGAGGAGTAAATTAGGAATTAGGTTAGAGGTGGGTCACCTTTTCTAGACATTCGTACTCTATAAAAGGGGGAAAAAACTAATTTGCTGAACTAAAATTAACCTTGACAGCTGTGGACTGACGTAGAAGCCAATATTTTTAGACATTATGATACGGTCAAATTGTATGAGCCTTATCGGTATAAACCTGCAGCCCAGTCAAGTATTAGGATTATAATTCAATGGGTAATCTAATCAGTTGTCGCCGAGTTGCTGGCCAATCTTATCGGCCCCATGGAAAGTTCAGCTGCCCAAGGGCAAACTTATGATTGGCCATAAAGATGCATCCGCTGGCGGGAATTGATGGAGAGGCGGTATGAGGATGGGAATGGGGATTCGGTGGAATTAATTAGCCAAAAGGCGAGTGAGCGTGTGCATCAATCACCATAAACATTTATTAAGCCGGCAATAGCGGAACACAATTGCAGATAAAACTCCGGCCAGCCCCCAAATACCAGATATATATCTCTATATTATGCCCGGGCCGCAAAACAGAGTCGTAAACAACGGCAAAAAGTCCAAACTATAAGCTCAAGTGCCGTTTTAAGCGATTTCGAATTTGG